CAAACCTCCCCCGCGATTGATCGAATTCGCCTGGCTGAACATGTCACAGCTGGGGATCGGATTCCTGAGACGGGAGGCGTGCCTTGGGATCCAAACACCCCCCCCCCCGCCCCGGTTTCAGGCCCTCAGGCCGTAAGTGATCAGATTTGGGTCAACCCTGAGCTTCGACATGCTTAAACCACCTAAAAAAAAAAAAACTATGTCCTGTTGCTCTCCCTTTCAAGGCAACCAGGGTCTGGTTGGTGAAACTTGTTTTGCCCAACCCGGTTCGAAAGGGATGAAGAGGAAGGGGGCAAGACCTAACATGAGGCTCCAAAAATGCCCGCTGGTAGAGGAATCGTCATGCTCGCTGGGGTAGGATTCTTTCTGGGCGCCGGGAATGTTGTGTCCCTTTGTCCATATCGCGGCACAGTTGTTTTCTGATTGCCATTGGCAAACGATGGCTACTTTGAACAAAAAAGAAACGTACACGCATTCTGGGAACCCTTGGCTGGAATGGAACCCACAAATCAATCTGGCGAGGCATGCAACGAGGCTGGCGATCTTGATGATGCTGTGATGCTGGTGCTGGTGGGAACCCATAAGCCGCAAGCGCACCATCCATAGTGTTCCAGCTGCCAGCACACCCCAAGCAGGCAAATCAAGCACCAGAACTTGCTTTTGACTGACAAATGGGTTCGCCAAGATCCACTGCAATCCTGCCGGAACTGCTAAACTCGATCCACCCAGCAACCAGCCCCCTCAGAGCCTCAGAAAGCTCGCGTGCTCGCACATTCCCGGCCTGGCCCACTCGCTGCCCTCAGGGAAGGTTCCTTCAGTCACACGGATCAGCGGCAGCTCCAAGCGAGGCATCTCTGAAGCGATTGACTCCTGGACGAGCCGCCAACTGTGGCTCTGGAATCCGTGGCTCAAAAAATGGAATCCCCTAAAATGGCACCTTGGTATATGGCAACGAAGACAAAGCAACCAAAGGTTCTTAAATTTGAGCCACACCCAACTTAGCACCAGAGTAGTTGGTTCTGCTCTACATGAGTTGCTTCTTCTGGTCCTTCTGGTTTACGAGACAATTCTCAAACTGAAAATAAGGATCCCCCCAAGTCAAGGACCTTCATCATGGGTGAGCTACAAAACAGGCAAGTCACAATCGAAACCTGAAATATCATCAACATGTCTATCCAAAACCCAAGGTAAAGAATAACAAGGGCGAACATGGGAAGGGCACTGTCCCTAAATTCATCTGGGCAATTCATCAATACTTCCAAAACTGGAAACAAGGAGTTTCCAAACGAGAGCATAAATCGCTCGTGTTACCCCGCAAGCCGGTGAGCTCGTCAGAAATTTGGAGAAAATTGACAGGCAAAGGAAATGGTTCTGCACAGTGTGGCTGTAGACATGCAACCATCACCCTGATCCAAGCTGCCGACCTGCATTTCCGGCGCAAGAACACAAACCATCACTTTGTACAACTGTGATTGCACCACTGCCCAGCGGTGAGCACATCTTGAGGGGAAGTGCAGGTTCACAGGCGTCCGTTTGGACAAATTCATGGGTTCCCCTGGTAGATTGAAACCACAGTGAAACCGGTCCCGTCAATCTGATCAACCAAACTGACCAAAGAACGCCTACTCTGTGACTGCGAGCAGGTTCGGTCCCCCATCTGAGTGACGTTGCCATAGATGAGCCACTGCTTGTCGCCCGCAAACTTCAGGACATGTTGTTGGAAGCACTCCTCCGACACATTCCCACCTAGGCGCTGCCAGCAGGCCCTTGCCAATGATACAAGGGCCTAAGTTTCATGACAATGCGGTCCTGGGTCTCATAGAAACAACCTACATAAAATTCAACTGGGAACTGGCCAAACACCTACAAAAAACAAAGATGTCCTGTAGAACTTCCCGTATCTGGTTCCTTAGAGGGTCGAACCAACATAAGTCATCATCAAAGATACGTGTGTGTGTGTGTGCGTGGGTGGGTGGGTGGGTGGGTGGGTGGGTGGGTGGGTGGGTGTGGGTGTGTGTGTGTGTGGGTGTGTGTGTGTGCGTGTGGGTGTGCGTGTGGGTGTGTGTGTGGGTGTGTGTGTGTGTGGGTGTGTGCGTGTGGGTGTGTGTGGGTGTGTGTGTGTGTGGGTGTGTGTGTGTGTGGGTGTGCGTGTGGGTGTGTGTGTGTGTGGGTGTGTGTGGGAGGGGGTGTGTGGGTGGGTGTGTGTGGGTGTGTGTGTGTGTGGGTGTGTGTCTGGGTGTGTGTGTGGGTGTGTGTGTGTGGGTGTGTGTGTGTGTGTGTGTGGGTGTGTGTGCCTGTGGGTGCCTGTGTGTGCCTGTGGGTGCCTGTGTGTGCCTGTGTGTGCCTGTGTGTGCGCCTGTGTGTGCGCCTGTGTGTGCGCCTGTGTGTGCGCCTGTGTGCGCCTGTGTGTGCGCGGCTGTGTGTGCGCGGCTGTGTGTGCGCGGCTGTGTGTGCGCGGCTGTGTGTGCGCGGCTGTGTGTGCGCGGCTGTGTGTGTGCGCGGCTGTGTGTGTGCGCGGCTGTGTGTGTGCGCGGCTGTGTGTGTGCGCCTGTGTGTGTGCGCCTGTGTGTGTGCGCCTCTGTGTGTGCGCCTGTGTGTGCGCCTGTGTGTGTGTGTGCCTGTCTGTGTGTGTGCCTGTGTGTGTGTGCCTGTGTGTGTGTGCCTGTGTGTGTGTGCCTGTGTGTGTGTGCCTGTGTGTGTGTGCCTGTGTGTGTGTGCCTGTGTGTGTGTGTGTGCCTGTGTGTGTGTGTGTGCCTGTGTGTGTGTGTGTGCCTGTGTGTGTGTGTGCCTGTGTGTGTGTGTGTGCCTGTGTGTGTGTGTGTGCCTGTGTGTGTGTGTGTGCCTGTGTGTGTGTGTGTGCCTGTGTGTGTGTGTGCCTGTGTGTGTGTGCCTGTGTGTGTGTGCCTGTGTGTGTGTGCGCCTGTGTGTGCGCCTCTGTGCGCCTCTGTGCGCCTCTGTGCGCCTCTGTGCGCCTCTGTGCGCCTCTGTGCGCCTCTGTGCGCCTCTGTGCGCCTCTGTGCGCCTCTGTGCGCCTCTGTGCGCCTCTGTGCGCCTCTGTGCGCCTCTGTGCGCCTCTGTGCGCCTCTGTGCGCCTCTGTGCGCCTCTGTGCGCCTCTGTGCGCCTCTGTGCGCCTCTGTGCGCCTCTGTGCGCCTCTGTGCGCCTCTGTGCGCCTCTGTGCGCCTCTGTGCGCCTCTGTGCGCCTCTGTGCGCCTCTGTGCGCCTCTGTGCGCCTCCGTGCGCCTCCGTGCGCCTCCGTGCGCCTCGTGCGCCTCCGTGCGCCTCCGTGCGCCTCCGTGCGCCTCCGTGCGCCTCCGTGCGCCTCCGTGCGCCTCCGTGCGCCTCCGTGCGTCTCCGTGCGTCTCCGTGCGTCTCCGTGCGTCTCCGTGCGTCTCCGTGCGTCTCCGTGCGTCTCCGTGCGTCTCCGTGCGTCTCCGTGCGTCTCCGTGCGTCTCCGTGTGTCTCCGTCTCTCCGTGTCTCCGTGTCTCCGTGTCTCCGTGCGTGCGTGCGTGCGTGCGTGCGTGCGTGCGTGCGTGCGTGCGTGGGTGTGTGTGTGTGTGTGTAATTACACAGCCCCCTGTAGTACTTGATCCGTTGAGCGAACAGATATGGCCTACCAAGCCTGCACCCATGAGGCTGTTGCCCCAATTTTTGATTGCAGGGGCCTTGGGCTTGGAAGCTCCAAGCCAACTACACTCCCCTTCTTGCCATTGAGCCCAGGAGGTCTTTGGTGGAAGGTTGTCTAAACCTGGACCCCATGTTGGGAGGGCTTTCTTGACTTGAATGACGGACCACCATCAATCCTTAAATGCGTCTCTGTCTCGTAGCCTTTTAAGGCACCCCCCTGTTTGGGTTCCATCTTCACTTGCGTTAGGCTCCTCTTTCTCCTCGAGGGACCACGTCTTCGGAAGCACACTTGAAGCCACAGGTATCATGCACGTGAACCCTGACCAATTTGCCCATCCGGCACCAAACCCGCTCACCATGATGTAGGCCCATTGGGATTCTTTCTTCCCAAAATGGCGTGGTGTGCCTTCCTTTTTGACCTGTCCCTTCAAAACCAACCTGAAAACGGCCAACAAAACATCGTTTCCAACCAAACTGACCTTCGGAGACCCTGTGGCCACATCCCACTCTCGCGCCGGGCCTTTGGGACAGAGGCGATAGGAGTAGCCGCCCCCATGGTTGGCTGCAATGGCCTGAGTCGGATCGCTCGGACGGACGACAAAAGGTAGGCTTGCCTGCAAAGCTTAAGTTCAGGGTTAGCCTCAACAAAGATCTATATACAACCCCTCTTTCTTGCTTCTAAAATGAACCCAAGAAAACCATTTGGAAGAATAAGCTTCAAGCCTCCAGGTCAACTTGTTGGCAAAAATTTGGGCGATGACTAAAATCCAGGAAGGGAAATAGAGTCAGTGTTGGAGGATACATGTCTTTTTGGGGGGTCTTTTTTCAGGGAAACCAGAAGGAAACATCCAGCTCAAAACGGCAGATGGAAACCATCCATCTTGGAACACGCCGAAGGCCGAGATCCCCGACCCAGGCCACTTCCTGGACAGAGCCCAGCGCCCACTGCGTGGGTTCTTGCGCCGGAAGGTCCACACCGTCGGTGCCTACGATGAAGTCTCCAAAGCGGTCAAAATGACGCAGTTTCTCCAGGACATGGGACATTTACCCTCCCACCAACTAACATGGAACCTGACAGAGAGTCCCAGTATAAGGAACATGGTCTTCCGGGACCCTGCCGTCAGGTTCCATGTTGATTGGTGGGTGGGTATCCAGAAAACGGTTTGGATGTGGCTTTTGTGGATCCATGCCTGCACGATATTAAAAGAGAACTAAAAGATCATTAAAGAAGGACCAACAGGGAAAAGCAGGCGAAATCCACAAAAAAACAAATCCAAACCGTTTTCTAGAATTTAGAGCTCGTCCCCTGGTTTCTGTGACATGTAGAGCTCGTCCCCCATTCCCCCAATAGACGACTGGAAAATTGGTCCGAACCTCAACGAAGTTGTTTGGACTCCCAACATGAGTGGCCTCTGTTTGATTTCTCTGCGAAGGCCAAATGGTTTTGCAAGGGAGCCAACTACTTTCAGCCATATCTTAAAAAATGGGCAAATTACAGGATTCCCCCTTGCTCCCTAGCAATATTTAGGGCATCCAGCTGAGAACATGCGGGGAAAGACCCAAAAACGTTAAAATCAAGAGAGACAACAAAAACAGGGGACCACCCCAAAACTTTGTTTTGCAAGAAAGGAAAACCGAGCCGCCTGGAGGGTGAATTCCTAGGAGGTCTCCGGAGGAGTCCTCGACAAAGTCCTGGCAATCGGCATTGAAAGCGACCTTGAAAGTTGTAAATGCACGCGGTTCGTTCCGGTATGTCTCAAAACAGGGGAACCGAAAATGATTCAATTCCGTATATTCTGTTTGGTATCCTGTTACAGCCAGCCCAAGGGTAGCCGCAAACAGCACACACCCATTTCAAGCCTCTGGATCTCTAGTTCTTCCCTCACGTGATTCGTGGCGCAGTAGGACTCCGCCCCAAACCAAATGACACCCGTCGCAAGTGAAAGGCTTCAATGCGGACGGGTGTTGCCATTTGCGTGTAGCCTTTTCCAGGCTGGCTTCAAAAAGAGAAGCCAAAGGGAAAGCAACTTGGTTTTGAGGGTACCCTTTGGGGGGGGGCTCGCTCCACTTCTTTAGGATCCCCAGACCTTGACCCGAACGGCTCCGGCTCCTGCTTGCCCCCGTAGATGCCACAGCCCCGCCCCAGCACCGGCGCCGTGCCCGGGGCCCGCCAAGGGTTCTTGCGGGTAAAGTCCCGGGCGCCTGAGACTTGGCCGATTTCTTCTCTACCCGATGGCTTGGAGCACCTCTCAACCCTAGCACGGTCTGTTTGGGAAGATCGTGGGAACGGGCTTATTTGGTGCTGGTTCATAGGGAAATGAATTGAAATGAAGGACCCCAAAAGGGCCAGAAGGCAAAACGGCTAGTTGAGCCTGACAATGTGCCGCGGATCCATCTTCTTCCTTGCCTGAGCAAGCTCGGCTGTAGATCTAAGCATGGAAGGTGAGCGCATGCTTGGCCAACGATTTCTTTCACCAATGAGGATTTGTCAAGGGTGGATAAGATGGTGACCTGGGCCCTTGCTGTGATCGAACGCCTCGCACGTTGCATCCCACTTTGAACACACGGGCCTCATATACAAGGCATGCATCCTCTTCAGGGTGCCGTCTTGAATCTAGAAGTGGAACGCAAAAACCGCATGCATTCCGAGCCAGTCATCATTCCGAGCTTTGCATTGCAAACGGACCATGTTAAATCCAACCACTCCGAGTGAAGCTCAGAGCATTCAGAATGGAGTTCACTGCAAGCCAAGAAGCCTGAGCCGTGAGCATAAGGACAGCAAGTGTCAAGCATCAGGGTTTGCCAGGGTTGGGCATTTGTTGTGACAACCAGACCCTGGTCCCAACGGAAAACCCAAAGGAGGTTGTTTAACCCAAACTTGAGTGGCCATGGGAGAAAAGGTAAAAGAGCACTCCTTTCTTGGTAGCTGAATTCAAGGGAACCCCCCTCCCCCCAAAAAATAGGAACGAAGGTAACAGCAGTGGTTTAAGCCGTGGTTTAAACAAGGGGGTTGGCGCAAGCCTGGTGTTTGGGACAAGCTCATGCACCGGTCACGCGGAGGGCCTGACGCCACCTTGACGTTGAAGGTCCGAAACTCCTCGTCGTTCACCTAGGAGACGACGGCAAAAGCATGGGATGCTCATTCTCCAGAGCCATCGGAGCCATGGGATTCTGACCCTGGGTCCACTACTCGAAGGCTGCAATGGCTCCCCTTGCCTCAGCTCTAAATGAGCATAGGACGGCACAGAAGGCCAGGCGAAAACATGTTTCATGAGATGGGCGCCAAAGGAAACCCACCTGTCTATCTACCCTTGTTGGGTTGGTCATCTTGAGGCGCGGAGCAACTCTCGTGACGGCTTGCGTGCAACGCCCGGTGCTCGCCTTGAACCTGTTTCTTGTTCGGTGTTTGGTCAGTCGCGCTGTCTCGTGTGGAAGCCGTCGTTGTAGCGCAGGCTGCGTTCTGGCGTCCACTTGTCGCAACAACATGTTGCAACAAATAGGTGTGGCCATGTTTGAGCACTTGTTCAGGGAAGCTTTGAAGGGACACCCGAGACGACTTTTGGCACATGCGCTTCTTCCAACGTGAGCGACCCGGACCTCTCTCGGCTACGGGGAACAAACATGTCGTTACTTCACTTCAATGTATTGCAGCGGCTCCATGGTGGAGCTGCAGCAATCGAGAAATGCCGCGATGACTGACGCATACGCATTGTAATGACAACCGCGGCAATCCTTAAGCGGGTACTCCGTTGCAGCAACCGAGCTATGAGCACCTGTTGACTTCTGGGGCCAAGGCTTACAGAGCTCACGTTTCGCATCTCTATGCAAAAACAATGTCCCCAATTTTACCAAAATATCTGACCAACGGGGACTTTCTCCCCGGTGCAAACACGTGCAAACAGAAGAGTGGACCGAATCCGAAGCTCGTGTCAGTTCACAGCGAGGCATTTTATCATATTTTATCCCAAGTTGGGGATGGCTAAGGTCTCAGCCTCCAAAACCCCCCACAACTTTAGTTTCCCCGAATCAATACCCTCCCCTTCCTCCATGATACTGCGGCTGAAGTCCACGCCACGCACCAGTATGGATGAAACCTTTCTGGGAAAACCGCAACTGGTGCGAAGCGGATTTGGTCCAACAGCGGGGATAGGCTCACAGCATGGGCTTTCGGTGAGGCCTTCCATTTGCGCTCTCAGGGAGGCGGACGGGCGAACTTGGTGGATTCAAAACGCCCTGCATGGTTACAATTTCCATGTTCAAAGGCTGCTCCTCGAGCCGGTTGTGTACTGTCAATCGATTGCAAGCCCTCAAAAACGCAGCACACCCAAAAACAAATATCAGTCAAACCGTCCCAATAGTTAAACTTTATGGTTGCACAGGGTTGGAGTTGACATGCCCACTTCAACACAAGCCCTCCAAACGAACCCAAGGCGGTTCCCGCCTTTGCTGCGAGTCAATTCCTCGATTCCGTCCATGTTAGGTGGACCCATATCTCCGTTGATTCGCTGATCTTAACCCTAAGCAAACAAGCCGCAAATGACCGCCAAGGCCAAGTCAGTCCGCGCAGAATCGATGAATTTTCCAGAAGCTCCGAGTTCGCGTTCTGCTCAAGATCAAGGCCTACAGCCCAGCAGGCCTTGTCTACACGCAGCAGCTTCAGTGCCGAAGATGCCAGCTACAAGTAGGGAAGCGCCCAAGTCCAACAATGTCGCAGAGTGGAAAGCATACAATAAAAACCAAATCGACAAAGCAAGGGCCACACAAGTGCGTCTTTGCATTCAGTGGCTTTGCAAAACGATCATATATTGCAAACAGGAAACCTAATTTGCATGGGTTAGGTGAGGCAAGTCCGTGGCGGTCCTTCCTGGCTCAGTTTGCATGGTGATTCAGCAAACCCTCCATCTGAACCACCATGCTCCAGGCGCCTGTGGCCTGTTCACTGTCGAGATTGCCGCCGCTCCAGCAGAGCTGTGCAGGGTTCACGGTCTCGTCCCCCAACATGCAAAGTCGTGACAGGCCCCAGTGAAAACAGTTGAACAGAACCGAGCTACAAAGCTGGATATCATATAATAACTCAAAGCATTCTCACAAGTGGCCGTGGCATATTTTGATGCTGCCTCTCCGTGAAGGGATGTGTAAATCGAATTCTGCGCCCCTCAGCCGATGAAGAGGCCATTGGTCGCCGCCTGCACTGGCTGCCGGCAGAAGGGGCACACCTGCCGCCCGTGCTGCTGCACGCAGGCGTGGCACATAGTGTGACCGCAGGGCGCCAGCGCTGCCAGCGGCACCCGCTCCTGGCAAATGCCGCAGGTCTCCGAAAAGCGACCTTCAGGAGCGTGATGCTCTGGGGCGGGCGCTGCTTTGACGCCGTCCCATGCGGCCTCGATGCGAATCCTGGTGTCCTGCCATGGAGTCCAAACCGCCAGCGAGCTGAAACCAACCAGCTCGAGCTCTGCACGGAGCAAAGCTATCATTTCTCGGACTTTTGTTGCTGTCACGACCATCGTGCAACTGGTTTTGGCCGTGGAGCGGCTCACTTTCATGCACTCCGCCTTGAACGCCTCCACCTGGCGTTGCACCCAAGCCTGCTGCGTGGCCTGCGACTGGTTCGCCAGCTGCTGGATGAAGGACATGGCTGTGGATGGGGCGCCAAGATGGGTCGCTTGCCTTTAAGCCGAGAGGCACCTGACCCATCCACCCACTACGCATTAGAACAATGGGGGTTCATATATTTCATATGACCACCATTGTGTATACCTACGTGACCTAAATTGGGTCCTTGCCATTCTTTTCAGGGGGGTTCCAGGGATCGGGCGATCTTTGGCTCGCCTCTTGGGGCCCTATCGTCCCCAAAAAGACGCTGCGGACCGAGCGCTCTGTCGCCAGCAAAACCGGCAATCAATCGTGGGACTTATAGATGCCTGGAAATTGGTCGCCAGCATACCCCGACTTGTTGGAAGGGATAGCCAAGGCAATGCCATGAGCATGTTACATGTTGCAATATTGAATCGGACGATTTGTTGCCAAAAACCCAAAGTGACGATCACTTGTGATGGATCCACAGCACTAATGTGCGATTCAGCCTAGTCCATACTCGGCTGGCAGCATCAACCCTTGGTTAGCACTCGGGGAAACAGTCAAAAGGCTCCGACTGCATTTTTGTTTTCCCTCCTTCCACCTCTTTCCAACAATGGAAGTCGACATGGAGGCTCCCCAACAGGAACAAACATCTTCCCACCGTTCTCTGGTCAGCTTCCATGAGTGAGGCTACATCCGGGGTGGACAGCTCGGCCGGGGTGCTGTGGGCTCGCCGGGGATCTCGACAAAGTCTGTGTACCTGAAGATCGGCACGCTTCTGCGCTCGTTTTGGTCAAAGATCCTAACCGTCTGAATGAATGGCTCAAAGAGAAAGCATCCCCAAGTCTTGGGTGCTGTTGACCCCTCTGCAAAAAGGGGTATGTGTTTTGTGGGTTCATTGGAAAACGCTTTTTATTTCCCCAAAATGTTATTACAGTCTAAAGATCCAACCCAAAAGCAATCAAGAAAAGTATGCTTCAGATTGTTTGAGAACCTTTCGCATTCTTCACTTAAAGGGATCCAGCCTCGGGGTTGCTCCCAGCCGACCAATCGATCTGCGCTTCTGTTGGTGGAAATTTAGGCCCCCGGAAAACCAAAGGAAACCATTCACCAATGCAATACCCTCCTACCCCGTGGGAGTGGCTCCGAGTAACCCTGGCTTTGGTGGAGCACGAAAAGAAAGGGCCCAGACTCTGCCGGCAAGAACGTGTTTTGGCACCATCCAATCTGGGTTCTTCATCTGGTATCTTTCTGCGCAATAAATTGATGCCCAGCTTTCCACCTTTTGATTTGCTATTGTCAAATTCATTCGTGGCGCACGACAGTAGCCTTTTTTTTGATTTGTTGTTTTGCTTTTTCTGCGGCAAGGTGCACGGAGGGAACTTGCAGGAGTTGTGCATATCCCAGCATATCCCTCTAGGTTCAGAGCATCATCTGCGAGAGCCCATGAGCAACCACTAGCTTTGTGGCCTCAATACCTGTCGCCCCTCTCCCACCAGTCGGGATGGATAAAACCCGCGAATAGCTGACCCACAGTAGCAACCGCAAGCGGCCATCGAGGGGCCCGCGCCAGAGTCGCCAAATATTGGTAGGGTATCCCCCCCCAAATCCAGCGTCTTGCGTCAATGGAGGTCAAAACAACTGTTTCGGCGTTGGAAACAACGCTCACCAGGTGCTTTGGGCTGGTATGTGTAAACCCAAAATTGCAAGTGCTTTCCTTTGGCTTCCCTTTTCACCAACCCCAAACAGGGGTAGCCCTTCGCCTCCAAAACCACACGCCAAAAAGTCTCTCCAGTTGCATACGAGGTGCCAAATGCAGTCATCCCAGGCACAGCTGCCGGCATTGGCCATACTGCCGTTCCTCAGAGAGAATGAAGTTCTGGAACTTGTTCTGAGTGAACATCGACTCTGCATGTTGACCTTCCCCCCCAAAAAACAACATACACCAGCATAGACCCCAAATGGCAGTGCTTGTACACCAGCACCTCCAAGAGCAACCCCCCAAAAAACGCCAAGCAAAACCCGGCCGTCAATCAAGCAAAAATGCACCCGCACCATCACCCTGAAGAGTATCCCAAACGGCACCCCCCAAGACACCCAGCCGTCAATCTTGCGAAAATCAACCAGCACCCCAAACAGAATCCCAAGCCACCACCTAAGCTGCATGCCCCCTTGCACCCTACCGTCAAGATGCAAACATGCGCCTGCACCGTCACCTGCATGCCCGATAGCACCCGAGCGTAAATATCACAAAAATGTGCCTGCACCGTCACCAGCACCTCAAACAGCTCCCCACAAACTGCGTCCCACAGCACCATCAGCACCATCACCCCAAACTGCATCCTACCATCAAGATGCAAAAATGCGCGCGCACCGCCACCCCCCAAAACAGCACCTGCACAGCACCCCCAACTGCATGCCCCCTAGCACCCTACCATCAATCTTGAAAAGATGCACCGGCACTGCCATCAGCAACTCAAACAGCACCCTAATCAGCACCTACACCAGCATCCCAAACTGCACGCCCCCTAGCACCAGCCCATCAATCTCGCAAATCACTTTTCCCTTTTTATTAGAAGTTAGAACCCCCATAGCTTTCAGCTATGTAGGGAAAAAACACACACACAAAAGAAAAGAAGAAAGATCAACCCACCGAGAAAGACAATGGAAGAAAGATCGAATCACTCCGCCCCCCCGGCCAAGGCTCACCCGGTTCGGCGGCCACGTGAGGGTGCCATGGCCGCTGACACTCAGCGGCGCCAGGAAATAAGCGAGGCGGGCCATGGTCCTTCGAGTGGCATCCCTGGGTGGGGTGAAGTGGGCTGGGTGGGTGGGTGGGTGGGTGGTTGGGTGGGTGGGTGGGTGGGTGGGAGGGAGGGAGGGAGGGAGGGTGGGTGGGAATAGGAATCCTTATGATGATTGTCTAAAACATGTATTGAGAGGATTGTGGTAGGTGACCGCCCATGGCCAAGCAAGAGTCGTTGGACAATGGCTGATGTGGAACGATCAGAATCTGGAATGCTGCATGCTTTGCCAAGGCCTCGCATTCTTCTGGAACGGAATATGTGCCCAATGCTGCGACTGGGCTTGACATGCCCCATGTGCATTCGTTTTCTTGACATCATGGCCACACAAATCTGAACAGGATGCTATATGTCCAAGACCTGAACCAACGGATTCTCAAGTAAAGGACCTACATCGACTTGCGATCGCCTTACGCTCAGCTCGACATAAAGTAGGTCACACATTTCATCAACTCGAACGCATCATGTCAAATGCACAATGGCCGCCCTGGCAAACTCCTCACTGGCCAGGTTGGGTAGATGCTGAGTGCAAAGCAGATTTGCAAAGCCGGGCGTTTGACTATGCCTGAGCATGCGAATCAAACTAGAGGGCTTTCTTGCTCGATTTTTCAAAGGGGGCGACCCCCAGCCTTTTGCATTTGGCAGGTCCGACTACTTTCAAACACATCTCGTCCAGACTCATCCTGTTTTGGGCCCTCAGCATCCCTTGTGTTCCAACCAGAGCTCCTGTCAGCAAATTCTCAGGTGCAAAGCGGCACGCGCGAACTTTCGGCAGCGCCAAAAATGGCTGCGGATGGGCGCGGGCGTGGTCCAACATCGCCTGCGATGCTAAAGCACAGCGCCTGAGGGCTCTGGGTGTCTACAAAAATGACAAATCAGTCATCCCCTATTGGTTTCGCTTTGGCTGTGTGTCCAAATAAGGGTAACCAATGGTGGCTTCCCTTTAAACCAACCCTCAAACAAACACCCTGCTGGGGGAAGAAAGCTTGTGGGCAATTTTGGGCTGCAAAGGGTGAATCGTGAATGCTACGCACCAGCATGGTTTGCACAAGTGATCAAAAGGCGGACTGCGCAAAAGCAAAAATGGGTGTGAGCTTGTTCAATTAACATCGTTTAGGTAGGGATTTGTGTCCACCAACCATTTGGGAGGAAAACCCTTATTGACATTCATAGCCACTAGTGTCGGTCCATGATGCCAGTTCAACAACTACCGATACTCTTGTCAGTTGCTCACATCCCAGAAACCAGACATTCTACAGGAAACTAGACCAAACACCTCCAAAAATCATGCTTTTCGCTGGTGTCCTGTAAAATGTCTGGTTGACCGTCTGCACCCTTCATACAAAACATGGAAAACCTGGATGGCCCCGATGAGTGCCTAGGGTGAATCTTCCAGGTTGATACGTCCCCATGGCAGCGTGCGAATTCGCTGCGTCAACTTTCAGCCGGGGCGCAGGAACGCTACCACCTTCAGAAGAGAAGGAACATGCAAGTCCTTGTGCAATTGAGCGGGGAGACCAAAAGTGGACAGACAAGTCATTCACTGGTCTCCGATGAAACTCATGCGTTGATGAAGGCTCGCTCTACCACATAGATCTTGAAGAACACATGGAGGTCAGATCCATGACTCCAAGAATCAGTCCCCACAGCTACCCAAGCGGCTTTCCAGAGGTTGCCAACACGCACAAAACAGCACCAAGTCATCCCTCCTCTCTGCCCGACGCCAAACGATCGACTGTGCCTGGGTGGACTCGGGCTCAACGTTTGGCTCAACGCCAACCTCGCGGGCGCTCAAACGGGTCCCTGAAAGGGGACACCGATCTTCCGGGTATCCTCTTACAAATGCTACTGTGGATGGACAAAATCCATTTCGCACCACCTAAGAAACCGTGGAATGAGGATTCTCCTGTAAATACAAATTATGGTTTCCTATGGTGTTTATTTATTTATTTATTTATTTATTTATTTTTCAAAGTGGTGCGCGATATCGTGCATTCGCAGTATGTTAGTGGGAGGAAGGATATGGAACACCCAAAAATGGTATGACCAAAAGTTGTTGTTGCTGTTTTGCTTCGGCGGCTGGCTAGTGGCTCTGATTGCGGGGCTCCGGGAGGAAGGGGCTGCCCCAAACCCTTTGATTTGTTCCATGTTCTGGGAACTGGAGGGTACCTATTCAGCTTTGTGGCTGGGTTCCAGTCCTTGGCGCGTACTCGCAGGGCAAGACACAGACAAAGAGGATCTCAGGCCGGGCTTCGAGGAATCTCCTTTGCTCTTTTAGGATTTTCATCAGGTTCCATGTATGTGGATGGGAGAAATACGTGGATCAGTCGGGATGGATAAAACCCCATGAGTAGGATAAAGCACCCATGGCAATTGGTGCGCAGCGGATTTGTCCATCCACCGTATTTTAGTATTCAGTGCTCACTTGTCATTAGACTCCGTAGCAATATGCATATAAGCTTGCATTGGGACCCCTTTGGTGGACATCATTTAGGTGGGCATTCATGTCCACCAACCACTTCTGAGGTGATTCCCTATCTAAAATACATTGCCATGTAGATGGCATTCTGGTCATACCTCCATTACGCTATTCCCTGCTTTCGTAAACGGCATTGGATGTTGTCCAGTTTCTACTGGCAATTTGGTGAGTGTGTCCAATGTCAGTCCCTTGGCCACCGTAGATAGCGGTAAATATTGATCGCTTCTCAAATGAGCAACGGCACACTTACGTGCTTCCCCAGAGGGAAATGGAATAATTGGGCCTGTCCGCCTGGTATTTGTGTGGCCAATTCGGGTTGTGCCCCCCATGTCACCCCCAAACCAACAGCAGACTCCCAATTATATGGACAGTTCCTCACATGCAATGTGCTTCCTTACTCCAGTTCAAGGAATGTATGAACAAGTCCCCAAGGGAAGGTAACTTCCCTTCAATCACGCACTTTTCCCATCAGAGAAGACGACACTGACTGCCCGTGCAACCTCCGCATCCAGCCAAGTAGAACCTTTTTTTTTAATGACGAATGCATGTCGCACATGTACAAACAAACCCCCCCCCACCCTCCCCAACCCCCCCACCCTCCCCAACCCCCCCACCCCCCCAACCCCCAAAATCCCTCACCTCGTAAGTGCGGTCGTAAGCACAGGAAAGCTTGGTTCGGTTTCTTGCCGGCGTTCCGTTCTTGCCTCGCACATGACTCAGGCGTCGTGCGTCGTAGCGAACCCGCGATTGTCCGTGGAACAGACTTCAGCTTCAGAACCTCCCATAGGCTTCAACAAGATGCTCGGCTGAGAAAAAATGCATCGGTATAAAGTTTTAACGAGAACACCCTCCCAAATGCTGTGGACATACATCCCACCTACCCTGAATGATGTCCACCAAGGTCTCGGATGAGATTCACAACCACATGAGGGTTTTTTGTTAAATCAAGGTATCGTTGTTAGGTTGGTTTCAAGTAACACCTGATAGATTCCCCTTTTACAACCAACAGGAGCAAGCACAAAACATTATTCAGCAAATGGAAGTTTGGTTTCCCAAAGCAACCCCCAACTAGGCTAGCTCCCACTATCGGAGGGGAAACAATCCAGCTCCCACTGGAAGGATCCAACTCCCTATGTTCAGAGGGCCCAGAAGGGACCCTCAGATGGGACCCTCAGATGGGACCCCTTCACTCGTTTGATTTCTCTAAATCATTTTAAATCACTCTAAACCACTCTAAAACCATCCACCCTCCCACTGTAAGGACCCAACTCCCCATGTGTAAACTCACGCCTGGGGTCATCATCCAGCAACACCATGGGCGCATGCTGCGGCTGCGGGGTCATGGGGTCGTCCGGGAAGAGGATCGTCTCCTAGTGCTGAATCGGTGGGCGTGTCTTTTTTTAAAGGGAACCCCCAACTTCGGGTTGGTTGTGTAAGGCAAACCAAAAGAAAAACCGGCCATTTGTATTGTTCAACGTGTTCTCTCTTTTTTTTGGTGGGGGGGGGGGGTCCCAAGAAAGACACGCCCAAGTGAAACTTTGCCTACGTTCAGAATGGTGGACATCATTTAGCCGGGGATTCATCTCAGCCATCCATTTGGGAGGGCTATTTCTGTTAAAAATGGATAGAAGTGGGACCAACACCCAAAAAGGCGGATTTCCGTCTGGCTTCCCTCGAAACCAATCCCAAAACAACGGATTTCCTCCAAAAACACACCCTCAAGTTGACAAGTTGGAGAATCATCTAAAACGTGGACTACCCGCCCAACAACTCTCCATGTATTTAGACACACACCTCGGTGCGAACTCCCCACATGGACCCGTCGCGATGGAAACTGGGCAACTTGCGCATGGGCTTGAATAAATGTCTTGCCTTTCGTACGTTCCGGATGGAGTCCTGAAAGCGACATGTGGATCTCATTCCCGTCTCGGTGACTGAACCAATGGGAAGCCCTTGCAGTCGGGTCTTCCCAGGTGAAAGCGGTTTCAAAAGGACCCAAAAGACGTGCAGCGCCATATTATATGGAGGTAGCGTGGTGAGTCAACCAAGAGAAATGATGTAAAGTTTGAAGGCAATGCACGCCTGCTTACTTGTAGGGCAGGGTTGAGTAGAGAAACCCTGGGTTGTTCTGGGGCCGGTCAGATTGTCAATTCTGCTCTTGAAATCTTTCGCTTGTGGGAAAAACATGCCACCAGTTTGCGGGGGATGTTTTTTCTGAGGCCTATTTTTCAGGACGCCTCTTTACCGGACACCCCTGTGGGAAACCCCTTCCCACGACACACTGCCACGGATTCGCCGCGTTCGCTCCATTGACTGTGCCAGCCAGGAGGTGAGCTGGCGCAGGCCCTGCAGCTGCCTGGCAATGGACATCGCCGACGTTTCGGGTTCTGCAAAAAATGGTCCACTTTGGCATTTCAGAAAGCTTGTTTAACAGAACCAAGACAGGGCTTCAAAATAGTTGGTGGTTTTCTTCGGCTTCTCAGATTGCCCCCAGTCGGTTT